CGCTGGAGCACTGGGAGGCAGCCCAGGGGGAGGGGGTCCTCTGACCAGGCCCCGGGCTTGGCCCCGCCTGGCTGCCTTCAGAAGCTGGGGACTTTGTGGCCTGATACAAACAGGCAGGCTTTAAAAAAATAAAAATAAAAACAAACACAAAAAGCAGGCAGGCTTGTGGAATTTTCCACCTCAGGGGCTGGCGGCGTCCTTTCCAGCTGTGTTGCCTGGTAACTGTTCTGGCCTGCGCTGCGGGAGCCAGGTGGGACCTGGGACTGCTCGGGACCGGTACCGCCGCCCTAGGGCAGATGTCCGGCAGCCGACTGAGCGCATGGGTCAAGTTGAAGCAGGCACTTGGAAGGCAGAGAAATTCAGCTACTTCTGTGTTTTTGAGTAGGGAGTGGAGGCGTAGTGACATGTTTGCTGTCAGCTTGTCCCGTGTTCCTTTTCGCCTCCTGGTCTTTACCCCAGCCACGTGCTGTTTCCCGTTCTTGAACCCTGGTCCGTGCGGTCTCTCCAGGCACCTTCCCTTCTCCACACCAGCTCTGCAATTTCCGCCTGTCTATTGATGCCTCAAAGCTTTGATATCCTTGTGTGTAAGATCATTTTGTAGGGGTTTTGTTGAAACCCCTAATGTTTGTAAAACAGTAAATACAATTTAGCAGATTCTGTTACTATTTTTGATGCCCCCAGGCCCACCTTAAGGCCTTTGCCATCTCTCCTGCTTGGACCGCTGCAGTCAGTTTCAGATTGGCCATCGTGACTCCGTGTTCTCCTGGCTTCAGGCCGGGCCCATAGATCTCAGTGGAATAATCTTCCTGGAATAGGCTGCCCACAACCCTTGGACGCTTTCTCTGCCACCCACTCTCACCCGGAGGGCCTGGCTTTTAAGCACTCCACAGTAGTCTCTGTATAAACATTCATAGAAGCGCTCTTCTCTGGCTGTTGCTAACAAGAACATTGCTGTCATAGTGTTTCGTTATATCGTTAACTTATTATATTGTTAAAGCTTCTTATAGCTACCTGGTCCTAAGAGCTCACTTTTGTTAATGTTGAGCCGCACCTACCATTACAGCCAAATTGGCTTAGTGTAATATTTTGCAAACAGTTCCCTGGTCATTTGGTGACCTTAGGCATTGCAAAAGTTGGCGGCGTGGTGACACAGTTACAATTGGCAGATGAGGCAGCCACCAAATTAGAGCGCTGCTCGCTCCAAAGCCGAGGCTTGTCCCACGGGAACGCGGCGGCGGCCCGGCCGGGCCTTCCCGGGCCTGCGCAGGTCCCAGGCAGCGCAGCTCCTGCCCAGCAGCGGCTCACCCCGGGGCTTCCGTGAGTCCGAATTTCAGGTTGAAACCAATGAAAACAGCATAGTAATATCTTCGCATTTCATTGTTTCAATCTTAGTTGAGTTGTCTAAATGGGCCAATTTGAATAATGAAATGTAGATTTCCCACTTGAAGGAAAAGGCATTTTTTTATAGCAGCTTTATTTATGCCGAAAAAATAGGACTACTGAAAAGGAGACTGTCAAACTGTATGAGAAAGAATTTTCGAGAGCCTTAAATTCCGCCCTACTCATTATGAGTCTCTCGTCCCGCCAGCCGAGGCTGGGACGGAGCCCCGCCGCCGTCACCGCGCATTGGGAGGGTGCGGGCGCCGCAAGCACGTGAGCCTCCGCGCTCGCCGCCAAGCGCGTTCAGTGCCGTGGCTCCCGCGAGTATTAAGTTTTATTGAAAGCTCTCTGCTGTAATGTCCGCTCTGCCTAATCGGTTTATGGATAGCCCCCACCACACAGCCAAATCCTAATTGCGTTTTCCCTCAAATCTAGTTTGATTTATGGTTCCTTATTTGCTCTATATGATTTATAATAATAAATTGGAGTAAAATCCTTAAGACATCCAACAAAACTTACAGCCGTTGTTCTATAAACATGGGATTATAGAAGGATCCTCAACAGTATTTTTGATCGTTTTTAAAGTTTAGTCAAGTTACACGCCTCTGTATGATTTCCATAATGATGCCTTTATTATGTTTCCTGAGGTCAGTTGTATTTCCCTGCGGTTTCTATGTATGGATTTTTAGAATTACTTGGAATGTTGGAATGGATTGTGTGTAGAATATTTAAAAAATAGCATGTCCTCCTATGAGGGTTAAGTGGCTATTTGTATTTGGAACAGAAAAAAAAATCACCTAGCGAGATAGTGACCCAGCGTCTGCATAGAATGAGGTAATGGCCCCGCTGCACCAGCGGCCGGCACCTGTCAGGGTACCTCATTTGTGACAACTCAGGAAAACCCTGCTGGCTTCTTAAAGGGAACTGTGTGTGTTCCTGGGGAAGCTTGGACAATGAGCACTTCGAGTTGAGAAGACTGGAATATATTTAGAACAAGAGATAAAAGGAGAAAGAAATTGAGTTTAAGAGAATACAAAGAAGGGAGAAAGATGAATAATCGCGAGCAAATTTTAGGTCAGTTAAACAAGTGGGAGGCTAGCTGTCGAAGGCATAAGTAATAATTTAGCATCTAGAAAATATCAAAAGGATGGTAAGCAGGTGATGAGCAGATGAGCAATCTGAATACTAGTTGGGGCTGCATTTTTCAGTGAGGAACTGGGCCTCTGATCTCTGTGGGAGTTCTCAAGGGGCCCCTCGCGGGGCCTGGGGGGCCCCCCGCCCACAGTGATGACTGTCTCCCGCCCTCACCACCAGGGCGCTGTCTGAGGGGGCCTCGCGGAGAGTCAGGAAGTTCGCCCCTGCGTGTGGGGAGCAGGAACCCTGCATTCCTGCCACTCGGGGGGGGGGGCTGTTGGTAGAGGCCCTTGGGGCTGCGGCCCCCCCCCACGCCCCGGGGTCAGCGAGGAGCCCCCTCCACGGGGCTCCGCAGGGGCCAGGACCTGCCCACCGAACTGGCAGTGGTGAGGTGGCACTTTCCCCGAACTGCTGGCCCGAGGATGTCACATTAAACCAGCTGAAACTGAAGGTTTAAGGTCCAGAGTCACAAAGTACACCAACACCCACAGCCCAATGGAAAATCAGTCCCCACACTGAGAACCAGGAAGATCACAAAGCAAATGACAAAAGACAGTCAGTAGAGGCCACCCCGGCCCAGGCCCTGGCCCCCACTGTTCCATTCTCTGTCTCTCAGAGTCGCTGTTTTCGCTTTCCACCATGAGGGAGATCATCCTCATCTGACTTTTTGTCGGACTTATTTCACCACTAGGTCCGTTCACACTTTTCCAGATGGACTTCCGTCTTTTTTTTTTTAAATGACAATATTGTTGTATAGATACCACATTTTCTTTATCCATAAAAGGTTAATTTAAAAACAGAAAAGTGACATGTCTTCTGACCAGTAATCAGTACTACACAGTAACAGTTCATACGCACACACACAAACACACGTGCACACACTGCACTGTTGCACGATGACTTCCTCTACATATGTAAGCACGCCGTCCTTTCCTTAGGTTATGTTCTGCCATGTCCGGGGGTATTGCAATGAAATGGGGATGTGATAGTTAATGGTAATTGCTTTTTAAACGTAACTTCTTGGCAAAATAAAAAGTCAATTCTTTATCGCTTCCCCAAAAATGCAATTCAAGATTTACACACCGGTCCATGAATTGCCAAAGCCCAGGAATCAGAGCTGCCTAGTGGTGTCACGGGAATGGAGCGGAGAATGTTCTCCTTTGTTCACAGCATCCAACTCTTAGCTCTGCACAAAGCAGAGGCCACAGGTGCGGGGCTGTTTAATAAGTGAATTTAGCTGAAATGGGAGCCAATCGCTCTAATATCGGAGGAATTTCAAATTGTGACTAAGTAAGGAGAAACCTCGCTGCCCCACCGCCCGTTGTCCCCCCCCCCCGCCGGTTGCTCGCGTGATCGCGTGCTGGGAGCGACAGCCCACTGCGTGGTGGGGACACTCACGCCCTCAGCAACAGCTGCTTGCGGCCTCCCTGCGAGCCCCCAGAACTGGTCGCAGCAACAAGCTGTCTCTTGGTTCCCTCTCAGTCCCAGGCTTTGCCCTTATACGCACGTTAGGTAAAATGTGTTTGTCATTATTTGATATTCCAGTACATACATTTTATGTATTTCTTTGTTAAAATTAAAATTTTTTATGGATATGTTAAAAATTAAAATGTTAAGACATTACCTAAATTATTAGCTATCTTGTTCATATTATTAAAGATATAGTGTTTTTATTAAACGAGTGTTTAGTATTTACCTATTTTTCAAGCAGGGAAAGATACATGTAAGGAACAATACAGTAGACTACAATTTTCTGAACAGTTCACTAATCACTTTGAATTTTGTAACCTAATAAATTAGTTCATCTGCAAATACTAAACACTTAAAAGATGTACTCAATGTGGATGACTCAATATAAAATATTTCTTTAATAAAAATATCAATTTGAGAGATGATTCTCATGTAATCTGTTACTTTCTCATATGTTCTTATTACCATATGTTTATTCTACACATAGTAGTCTATCATTTTTCTTTTTAAACTTTGTCATTTATCATTAGTAAATTATATATCACATTTTTGCAGCTTTGCTGTTAATATTCTTAACATGATAATATATCCTACCATTTTATGTATGGAGAATGATTTAAAGGGGATATTTTAAATTATTCAGTATTCCACCAAGTAAATCAGACCTGAGATTAGAACTTGCAATTATTACAAAACTTGAAGTTTTAACACTCTGAACATAGATGCCTTTATTAAAAATTTTAAAACTAATTATCGGGCTTTTCTTTCTTATAAAGTGATATTTTAAAGTCACATTTTCTACTAAAATAGCTTGAAATAAAGTAAACACCGGTAATTATAAAATAATTTTCTTCTCCAAATGTTTGCATGAGTGAAATTTTTGTTGTCCATTATTAGTAATTTGGTCTTTATCATTTAGATTATTTATGCAAACCAATACTTAATAACAGTAGTCTTTCCACTGTGCATTTTGTACTTTGCTTTAAAATCTGATACCCGTTTTGTTGTCTTTGAAGGTGAGAGGCCCCCCGGCTGCAGGGGCATTTAAAGAAAGACCAACGAAGCCCACAGCTTTTCGAAAATTTTATGAGCGTGGAGACTTCCCAATTGCCCTTGAGCATGATTCAAAAGGCAACAAAATAGCGTGGAAGGTAAGTCAGGGCACAGCTGGGAGAGCCAGCTGCGTGCGCGCGCTCGCTCACTCGCTCGCGGGGCGACGTCCCCCCATGCCAAGCTACCTTGGCTGATGAGTGAATAAACTGGAGTGGTTTCTCAGCAAATGGAAGAGGGTGGGTAAGCTCTTCGAGAAAGTGCCCCCGCTGCCGCGTCAGCTGTCCACCTTGACTAACAATTAAATTATGGCCTGCAGAAAAGAAAATGACAGAGTTGCTTTGCCTTGGAGAATTGTCTGGTGCCCAATTCATCTCTATTTTTATGAGAGCCTGGCAGCCCGTCCCTGTTTCCGGCAGCTCTGTCAAATGATGGAGCTGGTGGCTGGCTCCGGCGAGCAACAGCCGTTCATCTCCCCCAGTTTCACCTTCCTGCAGGACACTTCCAAATGGAAGCTTTAATTACCTAAATGGATAGGTCAAGATCGGCTGCTCCCTGGAAACACAGAGTGGAATACAAAAGAAGGCAGGTGCGCGGTGCTGCTCCCCATCCGTCCGCAGCACGTGCCAGCCACGCAGCCGCGGACACGCGTGCCCTGTCGCAGGGTGACCTCCACCGCTGAAGCCATTACAGCGCCGACCCTTTTTGGACCAAAGGTTAATTGGCCTCAAAATAAATGTATTACCTAATGACTCCATTCTAATGTGGCTGTGTTTCTTTCCAAAAGCCTCATTGATGTTATTTGCAAAAACTCGCCAGTCTCTTAACTAGAGAAGGCTGTTACATTTAATTTGAAAAATGAATGCTGATCTCTAACCGGCGCCTGCAATTTAATTAATTCTTGTTATCCATGGCTTTGCGTTGGGTGATATTTATCAGAGAAAATGCCTTCATGGCCTAGAAACGGAAAAGCGGGGCACGCGTGTGAGCATCACTTCAGGTTTGAGACATAAAAGGCTTTTGCCAAATACCATTTAAATTAAGCAATTGACCCATTTAACTAAAAAGTGCCACAGAAGTGTCGGGAGGTGAACACAGGAATTTTTTGTAATTAGTAATGAACACATATATGTTAAAAGATAAAGTGATCAAATTGGAGAATTCATTGAAGTATCTTAGAAAGATTCATTAAAATTAACCTCTTTTTTCCTTTATGGAAAAAAAACCCTAAAAGAATTGTTTATATTATTTCTAGTATGTATTCAAATATTTTCATAAATTATCAGACATTTCTATCTCTTGAGCAGGCATCTGATATTCAGTTACTGAACTTAGAATTATTGCAAATTATTTGGCAAGAGAAATCCAAAGGGGTCCTTGTTATTGAATTTTGTCATTCTTTTTAGGTTGAAGGACATTTTGCTTTTAATCATCACTAGTAAAATATGAAATTTATTATGTGAAAATGTGCATATAATAAGAAAAAATTATAGGATCTATAATTAATGTAGATATTTTAGTCTTAGCATAAGCACATATTCCCAACACTTTATTGTGATTTGGGGGGTTATTTATATTGAATGAGTTATGGGGATTTTATGTTTATCTATTTACTGTTTTACACAAGATAACACAGTGGAGGTTCTTAAAACCTGATTCCTTTTAAGTAAAACAGTAGGCCATGTTTCTTTATAAAAAGTGGGTGGATTTGGTCTAAGTAATTATAGCACATAAAAATCATTCCAATAAAAAGAATTTATACATTTTTTGACCTGTAAAATAATCTTATCAGTAACTTTAAGAAATATCAAGAGACTAGGAAAAAATTCATCTTGAAAATAATCGTTGAAAATTATCTTTGATAATTCAACAGTCAGAAGGGATATAAATTGCTTTCTTTTTTTATAGCTATATTAATTCTTTTAAACTACTATTGACAGTAGTACTGATTCAGCAATCTAAAACATCAGACTAAAGTGGAAGCGACTTATTTGCTGCCACCGGTAGGATAATAGCGTGCATTTAAAGAAACATCTCATCCTAGAACTAGTAGCTTCTCTCTTTTAAAGCTTTTCTAAACACATTTCAGCTGTACGACTTTAATGCTGAAAGTAAACCATCCAAATCATTAAGCATAGGCTCAATATTCATGTGTATTCCCTGGCGCACTCACTGTGGGGACAGTCTGGTACTTGGTAACAGGATAGGACTCGGCTGCAGGGCGCCGTTCCTAAGGGGCCTCGGGTGTCGGAGCCAGCGGGGCTTCCAGCACACAGGCGAACAAACCAGCCCACAGGCCAACCAGGGCCCCGCGCTGCACTTCCCTGTGGCTGGCAGAGGGGGCACCTGGGCAGGCGCACGCCTCCCCTTCATGTCAGGCCGCACCCCTGCGGAAGGTTCCTGGGTGGCTGTGCTTTGCACGCAGGTCCTGGTCCCTTCTCTCACTCCCTGTGACACCCCAGCACACCCAGGGAGCCGTGAGTGTCCTGAATGGCGTGCACAGGTAAGGGGGGAGGAGGCCCATTTCCTTTACTAGATTGCAGGAGCCTGTGACTCTTAAGTACTTGGGGCTCCCTGCTCCGAGCCATGGTGAAGGTGGACCAGCATCTCAGGCTCCTTCTTGACCCTGAAGTGCTGCCGGGGGTCCCTGCCCAGGAGGCCAAATTCCTTTCTCCTCCTTCTGGGGTAGCTGGCCCATCGCCGGCAAATTAGAAATCACCAGTGTTGCAAAATAAGAAGGCTCTATGGTTGTGTCCTTCTTATTTTCTGACCTAATGACATCAGAAAACAGGAGTGAGACTTAGAGACAGGTCCCTGTCGTTGCACATTTCGGTGTCTCCGCCCCCTTCCTGAACTGACCTCACGGTTTAGTGCCGGCAGAAATGGCCGTTCGTTCCCGCGCCGAGCGGTGGGGCAAACCGAGCGCTGCAGCGGGTGCGGTGCCGTTGTTCATTCCTGTGGCGTCTCTGAGGACGGGAGCAGCGCGGAGCGCAGCTTTCCGCCCGCATCTGCGCTCATACATCACGGCTAACCATATGTGGCCGTTAAGCACTTGAAATGTGCCCGGGGAGACTGAGGAACTGAACTTTTAATTTTAATTAATTGTACTTTAAATGGCCACATGGTTACCATATTAGACAGCACTGCTCTAGAGGAAGATAATGGCAGTAAAAAAATAAAAAATAAAAAAATCCCTGACCCTGCTCTCCAGACAGCATTACAGCCACGTGGGAATGACTATGTGAATGAGCAAATAGGACTGGCACGGACATTTTTGTCCTGGCTGCCCACCTCACTGTATACTCCCTGGTAAATATGAAAACTTTTTGCAAAACATTCATAGTAAAATTTTCTGTGTACTCACCGGTGGCAAGATGCAGAGCCCTGACCCAGACTCAGAAAGCCGCCGGGCGAGCTCCAGCACCTTTTTGATTTTCAGGTATTCATTCTCTAAGTGCAGCAAAGAATCCGTGAGTAACAATGGTTAGAGCCATAAAACGCATCGCCATTACTTGGGAAATTTTAATCTGCCCCCCTTTATGCGTTTCTTTGACTCCACTAACATTCAGGAAACGCGACTTTATCCTGTGGGCGATAGCTTCCCCATGCAGAGTACAGGCAGCAGAAAACACAGGAGAGCTAACCATTCTGATACCTTGCAGAGCAGGTGATCGGCCGCAACAGTGGACACTTAAAGGCGGTGTTTGCGTTTCCACATCTTAAATGTCCATTTTCCAATGTCCCGTGCCCTGGGGATGTGACTCAAACCCCTGACAGGACAGTGCCGGGGTGAAGGCGGGTCTCCCTGTGGCCCTCCCGGAGGGGAAGGGAATGTTACACGGAGTTGCAAAATACGTGTTGCTGCCACCGCTGCTGCTGGGAGGAGGGGGGGAGGGAGGCATTTGTGTAGAAGGTGGTCCTGCTCTGGGGAGGAGTGTTAACTTGCAGCACAGCTGAATGTGAATGCGTGAGCCATGGGGGAACGTGAAACTATCTGGACATGCGCCCTGCGAACCCTTCTCTCCTGCCTCCGGGCACCCTCCGCTCCCTGCCTCCGCTCCCTGCCTCTGCTCCCTGCCCCCGCTCCCTGCTCCCCCAGAAAGATTTGCCCCCAAGTCTTTCTCATCAGTGTAAAAGAGCTTCAGGTCTTAGATTCTTCCTCCGCCCTCTGGCCCTTCGGCCCTTCTTTCTCCTTTAACAGTTGGTGGTGCCCATTAATAGGCAAGTGGATAAAGAAGAGGTGCTACAGCCCTGGCTGGCGTGGCTCAACGGATGGAGCGCCAGCCTGTGAACCAAAGGGTCCGTCACTGTTCGGTTCCCAATCAGGGCACATGCCTGGGTTGCGGGCCAGGTCCCCAGTAGGTGGTGTGAGAGAGGCAACCTCCCACTGATGTTTCTCTCCCTCTCTTTCTCCCTCCCTTCCCCTCTCTCTAAAAATAAATAAATAAATAATCTTTAAAAATAAAAGAAAACAACTGCATCTATACAGACCTTGGGAGAAAGAGTTGGAGAATATTGTCATTTTGATTTTAAAAATAACAGCATTATAAACCGTTCACTTATTTTGGAGATGAAAACAGCTGCAACTACATGACAATGTCTGTAAATTCTTTCCCTATCTGGGCATTTTGATGTAGTAGATGTTGCTAGAAATCACCTTTCTCCATCTGCCCGTACACCACGCTACGCGACAGAGTGTGATGTGCCCAAAGAGAGCCTTGTGTTCCACTCGGTCTCTAATGAGTGCGCACGGGAGTGTCCCAGGTATTAGAGAGGCTTGGATGAGAAGCGGAGGCCCTGTGCTTCTAGCCCGATGAGGGTATAATGCAAACCCAGTGATGAGTGCCACTATCATAGTAAATCCTCACACTGTCTTAAAAAGGGAAAACCTCAAAACGGACTTGCGCTTTGCCTCAAATCTCCCTCTGCGCACCCTCCAGCCCCTCACCTGCCAGTGTCATGGTGGGCATTCTGCATTCTTGGTTTTTTATCCTTTATTTGATATGTAAATGATTTTCAGTAGCCAATAATATTGAATAAAATGAATAAAACCAGAACTGATACACGCAGGCAGTGAGAATGGACTTCAGATGGCCTCTCT